AACCACTGCCACTTTAACCATCCATAACTTCCTGAGTGGGTTCACTTAGCAGTTTTGGTCTCCACATTAGAAACCAGCCTCACAGGTTTTATCGATTTACCCAACAATTCGGGGTTCCATGGGAAGCTGGAAGCATTCCTGGTAGGTACGGGAGGTGTAGACAGCGTAACCTGGGACTAACCGATGTTAGTCGTCCTAGACAAGGCTGTCCACAATTTCTTTTGCTGGGCGTGCACCTTTCTTCACGGCTTAACCTTTTTTCAGGCATCAGGTCAGGAAGGTAACTGATCGTAAAAGAAAGCAGATAAATGGTGATGAGATATGAAAAAAAGAAGAAGAGTAGGAATAAAATAGTAAAAAACCACAATGAATTGAAAATTTTCAGTTCCCTGGTCTACGATTTTCGGTGTGCACATTGGCATCAAATTTCAACATAATGATTACGTAAGCGAATTGTTACCCACGTATTGTTTATATTTATATTTATAAATAACTATGTATTATTTATTTATTATAAATAATCCATAGATTCAGAAGAGTCCCAGATGAGATTCGGATGAGATTTCAGGAGAGAGATTCTGCTGTTGGGCGGACTCATTGACTGCTCTAAGGAAAGTATCGGAAATGCACTCACAGAACAAAAAGCTGGACGAGCCATAGCAATTGCTGTTGGTGAGTAATTAGAGTTGCTTGACCTAATGCGGCTGAAACAGTTTCTATGATAACAATATGCACGGCTTTTCACCTTACAATTAGAGGAGCATTCCACGATCACGACCACGAAGAGGGGAACTCACCTTGCGAAAAAACAGGTAGACCCTGTAGGGGTGCGGATCGACACGCAATTCGCAGCGAAGTATAAGCCCTGGCGATTTAGCATGGCCTTCCCCGCGGCGCTATCGGCGAATCACGCCTCCCACTCGCTGTCTGAGCCTCTAGCCGTTCAGCAGAGAGAGCGTTAGCGTTGAAGAGGGCAGCACCGATGAGAGTCGCATCAATGCAGAAATCAGGAGTAATGGTGGTCCATTTTTCGATTCCGTGTTTGGTTCTTTCGTCTTTCGTGCAACACTGACCATCTCTAACTTAATTGTCAATGGGCTGCTTTTCAGTCGTAAAACCCATTTTTGAACACGAACAATCAGCGTTGTACTAGGAACAAGTAAACAAACCGATCGAGAAATAAACAATATAAAGTTAGCGAATGGGCCCCCTCCTTTGCACAGTAAGTGACGTTCCTAATGGACATACTTCCATCTTCAAGCAGTAAGCCAAGAGGGAAAAAGTGGTGTTGAAACGGGAAAATTTACGAACTCTTAAAACTTTTTTGGATTCCGGTAAACATAAAGTTCTACCTCACAAAAAAACTTTCTCTTCCAAAATTCAACGCTCGTACAATCATTTGCCACCCACGCAAGAAGCACAACTTCAATCCCCATCGTTGAGCTCAGTCAACCATGAACTGGTAACGACGCTTCTCCAATTTCGAGAAACGGAAAGCTTTTGATGTGGTATTGGAACTGGCCGCATAGCTATCAGACCGTCGCCCATGCGTGGACCTTGAAAGGACATGTGCCTAAATTCTGGATAAAAAAATGCTGCCTGCTTGTGCAGGAAATATGGAGTGGAACGCAAGCACAAAACATATATCCACTTGGCCAGTAAGGCAGAGGCGCTTAAAGCAACAGTCCCAGCAGGGTCTGCTTCTTTCAAAACTAATGGCACTAAAGGATGCACAGGCCCTATTGGAGAACATCTAAAGTGTAGTTATAAAGAAAACCCACCTGGGAAAAGCCTAAAAGGGCGTTAAACTCCTCAAAGATGGGTGTGGTTGGAGATTTCTTCGGGACCGCCCACTTGCCAGCCGTGATTGGCTACGGAGGCATTCGCGCTCGTTTTGGGACCACAGGGAGTATTTGAACTCTGTCCTTTAAAATAATCAATGTGATCCTGCCTGTTACACTGAATTGTTTCTTTTGTTTGTTTATGTTGTTTATGTTATGTATTATCCTCCATGTCCGCCTTTCTTGAAACCTGGGCATTTTGATCTTGAACAGTTGTTATTCTTTGTGTGCCACACAGGTTTTGTACGGTCGAATCTTTATTGAGACTGACGTTTCGACTAACTCGTCGTTCTCAAAGTCCTGGAAGCGTTTTGAAACACTCAAATGTTACCTATCCGCTCATTATTATCTACATTTGACCAAGCATTACGCAGGCTAATGAACTAACGACAGGAAAACTCCAAGAATGGGTCACCTACCTCAACTCCGCCAGCACCACCGCTCTTCGTTCAACAGCCTCCCTCGATGCCTTCCAGAGACAGTAGAATAAATGAGACAACCAGCCATGCACTGCTTATAAAGAGTGTACGTGCAGTGCACGACGTTCTCATTATCATAGTCCACAGAGAGGGATATAGGGTAAGAAGTCGGTAGTTATGGAGATGCATTCATTTCTATTATTCATGTAAGGGTTACGTTGCTTTATATAGAAAGCTTCAAGGGTTTTCCTTGCACCAATGTCGTTTTCGTATGCTAATATTACTTTATTTCACTGTCTAAGGCATCGAGGGAGGCTGTTGAACGAAGAGCGGTGGTGCTGGCGGAGTTGAGGTAGGTGACCCATTCTTGGAGTTTTCCTGTCGTTAGTTCATTAGCCTGCGTAATGCTTGGTCAAATGTAGATAATAATGAGCGGATAGGTAACATTTGAGTGTTTCAAAACGCTTCCAGGACTTTGAGAACGACGAGTTAGTCGAAACGTCAGTCTCAATAAAGATTCGACCGTACAAAACCTGTGTGGCACACAAAGAATAACAACTGTTATGTATAATGTTAGTGTTATGCAACTGGAGCGCATTTAGTGGGGCAAGTTCAGACAACTCGTCCAACGCGCGTCTTCCCACATCGCTAAGCGGCAGAAGGGGAGTCCCTGTTTAAAGCCCTGTTCGGCGTTTTTCTTTGGTTTTTTCGTCACTGTCGGTCAAATTGTCGCCTATAACTACATTATCAACGGTATTTACCCCGCAAATTCGTCCTGGGATTGTTGCTTTAAGCTCAGGATTCACAAGATTCTCGCCCTTCATATGCATAGACTTCCCTAAGGCAATGCTAGTTAGCTCCGCTGCTAAGCCAAACAGTACCAATTAGTAACGAATTTCGAAATTAATCAATTCAGGCGGAGCTGAAGAAGCTCTCGAAGCCCGTCCGGGGGCGCACAAGTTGAAATTGCTCACACGGAAAGGATTTGTAAAATTGGCACTCCAATATGGCGCCTCTCTAGTTCCCGTGTATTCGTTCGGGGAAAACGATCTTTTCTATCAGGTGAATTATTAAACACTGGCCCTTCTGCATGGTTCTCGATTGATTGTTGGTATGCTGTACTTAATTCATAAAATCAAATTTTACACGTTCAGCTCGATAATCCTGAGGGATCTTTGGTGCGCAAATTCCAAACATTGTCGAAAAATCTGCTCGGAATTTCGATGCCTCTTTTCTACGGAAGAGGGCTGCTTCAGGTAAAATCCACTGCTAATTTTTATATACATATGCTGAAAAGAAAATGTATTTTCAGCTAAACTTCGGCTTTCTACCACATCGGAGACCGATTAACACTGTTGTTGGAGCACCGATAGCCGTTCCGATGGTGCCCGACCCGAGTGATGACGAAGTGGACCGCGTCCATCGTCAGTACTGCGAATCCCTTACGGAGCTTTTTGAACAACACAAGACTCGATACGGTGTTCCCGAGGAAGCAACGCTCACCTTGATCTGAGGATCTTCATTCTCCAGTCCACTATTGTAATTCTGCCGTTTTTTCGCTCCAAGACGCTCATTTCTTCGATATATGCGCTCGAACCTGAATCTACTCAGATCTACTATTGAATCAACTCAGATCTCTTCTAATATTCAGGAATCAACGGCTACAAATGCTCCTTTAGTTTTGCGGAATATTTATGAATTCGCGCACTTCATCCTTCCGCCAATTACTCCACTATAAATTTCCTAATGATTTCCAACACCCTTGTTCTCCATACCTAACTTCACTGCGCTGACAGAGTACAGCTGTCTATAAGAACGATTGTTTTGGAAAGTTCCCACATCTCTGAGTTCTGGTAAACAAAAGATCTTTTTTGATTCATCGGGTTTTTATGTCTCAAGTTAATCTTGAAATGCAAATAAAGCCATTTGTTCATTCTTGACTGATGTGTGAAGGCCAGCTGTTTGCAATGGTGCTGTGTGGAGTCATTCTTGGAGGGCGATTGTGTAAATTGGACAGTTTGAGCCCCACCTTCAGGCACTCGCACTGTTTGAGGTATGCTACGGCGATCCTATCATCCACACCAAAGAAACGCATTGAATCCGCCTCCTTTCCATGGCAGCCACTGTCATTGACTCCCATGGACTTTACTCTTATTATTATTTTTATTATTATTATTATTATTATTATTATTATTATTATTATTATTTATTATTATTATTATTATTATTATTATTATTATTATTATTATTATTATTATTATTATTATTATTATTATTATTATTATTATTATTATTATTTATTATTATTATTATTATTATTATTATTATTATTATTATTATTATTATTATTATTATTATATTATTATTATTATTATTATTATTATTATTATTATTATATTATTATTATATTATTATTATTATTATTATTATTATTATTATTATTATTATTATTATTATTATTATTATTATTATTATTATTATTATTATTATTATTATTATTATTATTATTATTATTATTATTATTATTATTATTATTACATACTGCAAGTGCAGATGCACAACTCCATGTATGGCTACCTAACAGCACTTTTTGGACGGTAAACTGATGTTGGTGTGTCAGCGAAATCGTTGAAGTTATTACGGATACTCTCCGCTACTTTGAAAACCAGAAATTCCCTTGCTCACTTATTTCGAGTTACGAAGGACCTAAGAATTGTTGGTGAGCCAAAATAGCGCCGTTAAATCCACATTCGGAAATGTTGGTCTATTTGATCGCGATTGGGAGGAGCCATTCCACCGATTTCAACAGGAATCCGTAACATTTGACCAATTGGTGGTATGGAGAATAGAATAAATGACGAGGTCAGCAAACCGTGTGAAGTGAGACTTTTGTTATCATTCACGCTCATTCTGTGAATGATAACGAGTTGCCATTGAACCAGGAAGAGACCCATGAACTGATAATAGGAACCGCTCCACGAAAACACTTTGTAGTCTTGAAAAAAAGTCATCATTTTTTTCCATTCATTCAACAGACATACTATTAGTTTCCCATGACTGACTTTGCCAAAAGGCACAAATGTAACCATATGGTTCTTCAGTTTTCTTACCTAGTCTTTTCAAATACCGTGGAAAAAATACGAAAGGATAGAACGGGGTAGTACTAAACGCTCTCCCATTCGGAATTTTAGCAAGAAACCCAGGAATGAAGAACCGAAATGAGTGTGAGCCAATTGTACTTTCTTTTCGAAAAAACGAGAAAAGCGTCGGATGCAGACCATACACCATAAGTGACGACGGCATCCACAAAATGTAAAGGTTTTCTGCCATTGAAATGATTAGCCTCTTGCAGTTGTATTTTATCGGCTATCATTTACCAAAAAT